TCACAGTTACAGTTTTCACCCCGTTATCATCAACAGTTCTGTTACTTGGGACATCAAATTGAAGGGGGACTTCGTCCATATTTGCAATCTGTCCCAACTCAAACTGATGTGTCTTCTAACATTGAATGACAAAATGATGAAATTCAAGGACCTTCTGCTCACAGCTTTCAGGCATCTTTTGGGCAACTCTGGTGCGTGTACACATGCTTAGTCCATTCCGTTTCATGAACCTGAAGCACCAATTGTGTCCTCCTTTGAAATCAGTCACTTCTTTTTCATCAGCAATTCTTCTTGCCTCATGCTGAACCATCTTTGTGGACACAGGAATTCCAATTGCCCTTTGCTCTTCAATCCATATCTTCAATTCCTTCTCTAAATCTGGCCATTTTGCTGACTTGCCTCTCATGGCCTTCTTCTGCTGTGGCGTTTTCAGTAGGGTTTCTTCTTCCCGTAGCCAGTCTTGGATTGTTTTCTCAGTTGGAGGAGGACCAAACTTACGTTCAGCAGCACGAATTCCATTCACTTTTGCAAACTGGATCACTTTTAACTTGAATTCAGCACTGTATGAAAATCTTTTCTGAGCCATTTCTGGGCAGAACGTGGCAAAACGTAACCTACTGTAATATACTGGTAACAAGTGCGAAACAATGAGCGCAAAGACAACAAGCGCGAAAAAGCGGGAAATGCAAGTAAAAAAAACCTACAACCACTGTACAAGACGCACCCAGGTTTCAGACACCAAATTTTTTGAAAAAGGGTGTGTCTTATACATGGGGAAATATGGTATACTAGACAGTTTTCTATACAATGGATTCCAATTCCAGCAATGAGCTAAGAGGATTATGACACAAATACATTTGTACCAGGTCAATCAGCCACCAGGACACTGAGATCTGACACTTTTACCAGCTGCTTTGGGGCAATTTAAGTATGGAATAAGGTCTGAACCTTATAAAGCCAACCCTTTCTGCTCTTCACTACCTTTATGACTAATGTGGGATGGAGTACCAGTGTGTTGAAGCTCAGTCTCTCAGCAGAGTTCCCAGGAAGAGAAAAGGCTGAAATTAAAAAATAAAAGTCTCCATTAAAGACTTCAGCAGGGAGTTTTGGTTATGTTACAGAAACGTATCTTTCTATTTCATGGCACATTGGAAACACAAACTTTAGGGTTTTTTCGCTGTCACTTCATAGAGGTCTGATCGCTTCTGGCTAGAAATGGGGATTTGCTGGCGTATTTCAGCTACCTTCTTCAGGTCTGTGAAAACAGGAAAGTGCATTATTAGTAGGATGTAACTAACTCTTCACTAGCCAAAAGGGTTTCTTCCCCAGAGTGTAACACTAACCAGAGCCTCAGCAAGTAACTCGGCAACATGGGCCTTGCCTAGCGGCTCAGATGGCCTGGACTGCCCCGGAGTCACTTCAAAAGGAAAAACCAAGGCAACTGAAGCTGAACTACAGCCCTCAGGGCTTGGCTAGAGAACCAACGATACATACGGGAGGGGAGGGGGCGCCCAAAGGAACCCCTCCAGGTGACAGGATGCACAGCGATGGATCTGGTCTCAGAGCAATGGGGACAGAGACCTAACCTGTGGCGGGCAGATCTTACCTATGTCTGAATAGATGATGGTTTCCTCAGTGCCAGCTTTGGCAAGGACCTCCCCCCTGGAAAAGATTCAGGGGAGAATGAGAGGATTCACTAATGTGGCTGACAGTCAAGACCTCTGTTTTTCCTCCCCATCTCACAAGCCTAAGGGGAAGGAATCTGCGATTGAAAAGCAAGGAGGGGTACAAACTCATGTTTAGCATTTAAGTAGCTGTGTGGCATTGGGCCAAGTCATTCGGAATCGCAATTTCCTAACCTGGAAAGGACTCGGTGAGAAAGCTGTGTAGATGTTTTGAAAACTGCTGCTAGTCTGTTATTCTGAGATAAGCATCTAGAAACAGCTCGCCTGTAACAGGAAGTACCATCCCATTCCCTCCTGAGCGCATGTCCGCAGGACCCCTGCCGAGGGCCCTGACTGCTTCTCCACAGCTCTCGAGGCTGCTCCCCACCCTGGGTGTGAGGCTGGGCTGGCACAGCCTGATCTGCATGGGTCTCTGGTCTTGTGCCTGTGATCCCTACATCCGTTAATGGCCTTTGGCTTTCGAAGGAAAGGTTTCAACCCAAAGTGGGGGGTGAATCACACCCTGGCAGGAACCCCCCACTTAGGAACAATAACATGTCTTCATAAAGCAGGGGAAAGGCTGATCTGAAAAACTATTTCCAGGGCTGAGTTCTTGGCCCAAAGTACGGCTTCAAAAACTATCTAGTGAAATGAAATCTCTCCAAAGCACAGAACAAAGTAATCTGACAAAAACAAACAATGTGACATAATAACTGGTTCCATTTACCAGATGGCCACAGATTTTTGGCACAAATGAGCTACCAACACAATATTAATGCCATTTAACTGAATCCTTCTCTATTCTTTTCTACTTCTTCCCATTTGCCCTGGTGTTCGAAGATCTGTTAACCCCAGGTATCCCCAATCTGTACAGATGGAATTCTGAATAGAAATGAAGGTAGATCTTATACAGCTACTTCGTGTCAGAAGCAATCAGCCTGATCATAACAGAATCCAGGAGGATAACCAGCAGGGGAGCAGAGCTGCCCCAAAGCCCAGGAAGCCTCGCACTGACACTGGGCAGAGGAACTGGAATCCCTTTTGAAAAAGTTTTCAAGCCAACTTAATCCTTCCAGTTTCCCGATGCCCCCCAAATCTTAATGTGCAGGAGGCTCACTGGGAATTAATTGCTCACTGGTCAGATCTTTCAAGGCCTTCCCCATCACACATGTTAATCTATGGGTCCTATAAAGTCAGAAGAGAGAACCTTTAGGGACCCCACAGTGATAGGTAATCCTTCTCATCCCTGTAATTGGTATATTTATCCTGAAATTGTAGGAATAATTGTGTGTGTGTGTGTGTGTGTGTGTGTGTGTGTAATCATACAGATGTATGACAAATAGTATGGCATAAATCCAAGTTCTGAAGTAAAAAATCCTGGAATCAAACACCAGCTCTAGGCATGTTATCCTGTGAACTTCAATTCTACCATCTATAAACTGGGGTGAACAGAGGATAAGTTCCCAAAGCTCAAATTGAGGCCGTGTGTATAAAAGTGCTATGTAAACTACAAATGCAGACCACAAGGCCTGCATAGCAATGTATGACTACACATGTATCTGTGCAGACTTTCACGCTGGTGTCACTAAGCAATACAATGCTTTACCCTCTCAGAGCACAAGGTCCTATTTTCCTTTAATTGAACCCATCCTCCCCCCTCCTCTACTCATTATTCAGGGAGCAAAATTCTCACCCTGTATCTCATTTCTGCCCGAGGAGCAGTCACCCAATCTAAATTTTAACCAAAAGAGTTTGGGAGCCTCTTTTACGACAAACACCAACCAGTCACTGCTGCTTTGTTCCCTCTACATGATCCAAGTTTGACTGACAATAAAAGCCACTTAGAAACTCAGAAGAGGGTGAACGCCAAGCGCTCAGTCAGGAGAGCAGGATCATTTCTTTCTCACACAGTTTCCAAGTGAAGGCTTCTCTCCCTGAGACAGGCAGAGGCCTGGCCTGCATGTGGGACTCTGGGGGCGTGGTAAGCAGCAGGGCTGGTCACGAATCAAGTGCCATCACTCTGGAGTGCCTCGTGAGCCTGTCCCTGCTTAGGTAACTCACCAAGGATTCACGACAGTGCTGTGTCCCCAAGCGACATAGGAGGCTTTTTCATCCCGGGCAGGAGATGCTGTGGCCACATACACCTGGTTATCAACAGCCCTGTATCAAAGGACAGAAAAGAGGCAAATCGGACATTATACATCTGCGACATTTTCCTATTCTAAGTGTACAGATCCTTCTTTTAAAAACCAGGACACTCAAGAGTGCAAGCTCTGAGCAACAGCGGTTCGATTCCTGCACCAAGCTGAGCAGCTGCCAGGATGGCTCAGCTAAAAACAAACAAACAAACAAAAAACCCAGGACAGGCCGGCTCAGATGTGGAAGGAAACACCCAAATCCATGGAGCCCTCTTTTCAAGAAGTATCTTACTACATAAGCCAGTTTGCCATTGGGGCAATCTTGCCCAGCAGGGGACATCTGCCAGTGTCTGGACGCCTTTTTGATTTTCATAATTAGGGGATGCTACTGGCATGTAGTGGGTGGAGGCCTGGGATGCTGCAAAACATCCTACACTGAACAGGACAGCCCCCACAACAAAGCATTATCTAGTTCAAATGTCAGTACTGCCACAGTTGAGACCCTAGCCTGGGTCAACTTGTAAAACAGCAGAGCTTCTCTGGTTAATGCAAGTCAAGGTGGCCGGAGAGGATGGATTGGCCATGCTGGCAATACACCTGGCAGGGCTTCATGGCACTTCCATGCCAATGGTGGCAGTTCTGTCATTTCAAGTTAGACCAGAATTTCTGGTGCAGCCCGGGTACATCAAGCTACCCAACCCGGGAGCCCTCTGGGCTCAATCAACACATCCATGCCAGGTTATCCCCATCGCCCCCAAGCTTTTCTTCCTTTCGACAAGCCTGCATTTATTAACCCTCCGTCAGGTGTAACTGATCTCACAGATTCACTGCAACAAAGATGCCGCTATGAAATACGTCTCTACTGTACTAAGTCACAAACATGACTGGCGATAGGTTACAGTAAAGGGGGAAGATACGGAAGCGATGAGTCATGAAACAGCTGTTAGATATTTGAAAATTTGTGTACAATGAATCTGTGAGATCAGTTGTGCCTGACGGAGGGGTAATACTCATGGTATCACACACCCCAACTCCATCTTCTACAGTACACCAAGCCAAGTTCCATTATACCCCCGCCAATAAAAATTACCATTATCTCTAGAGGCGAGAGCAGTGGCTACCTTTGGGCAGAGAGAGGCGAGTACTGACTGGGAAGGAGCGAATGGGAGCATTCTAGGCGCTGAACCTGTTCTATATGTTGACCTTGGTCACAGATGGATACATACGTAAAAATTCACTGACATGTAGACTTAAAACTAGTGCACTTTTCTGTAAGTATATTATACCTCAATTTTAAAAACTTTTAATTAAGAAAACCATCATCTCTGACCACCATTTCGTGGTTGCAGAAGTTTACCCTCACACACACACCCACACCCCTTTTCCCTTCCATGTTACACCCACCTCTGCTATCCTCACCACTCCTCAGCCTTAGGGGACTAAGGAAACAGCAACTGAGACACGCCAGAGACACTTGTGTGATGCCCAGGATTTACAGGTTAGAAGGACAAGGGCTTAAGTGAGGTTCTTGGTAGAGTATCTCCGGAACCAGCAGGCTGCTGCGGAGGACAGGGTGGGATAAGCACCCCAATATGAACAGCAGAGGTCAGCTGTGTGAAGACCACCAATCTCTCCCTAGGACTGTCAAGCTAAAATAGGCCCTGCTTTGCTTGGCTCCTGGGGCTCTGAACATTTACACTCTGTGGGTCTCTAATTCTTTGTAAAAGCTGCTGGCAACTGTCTCAGACGCACCGACCTTTACCTAATCACAGTAAATGAAATCACTGTGCACCGGATGCACTAAATACTCTTGGAAATGCAACAGTTACAGCCCCCAAAACCCTGAGATCGGTGCTGCGGCTTCTGAGAAGTTTCCCAGCAGAAGCCTTCCCTTTGGGCTGAAAGTTGACAAGATTCATCTCTTTGAACTGCCAGGGCATTATGAGTCACGGGCAGCATTTCATGTCCGGAATGTTGGTATTTTCGCCAAACTGGAAGTCTTTCCACAAAGAAACACTGAGATACGTGAAGGTGTATTTGAGATGCTTTCTTACCGGCCTCGCTGAAGCAACTCCCAGTGAGCTGGTCCAGTGGTCAAATTAAAAGCTCCCGGATACACCAACAGCTGGCAGCCTTGGGGAGAGAAAGGCCGAAGAAAAGTCAATGCAGGCTCACACCCAACCACACCATCCCTCCTTCCGCTCCGTACCCAGTGGGCAACACTCAAACTTGCCCAAGCATAAAAACATGTCAGCAAGTCAGACAGTGACAGCAGCATGAAGTTATGGCTCTGAATTCCTTTAGAGACACTCACATGACACACACACAGACACACGAGAAAAGTGGTACGGATGACCGAAACCACAACATGTGACTGCACTTAAAAAAGTGAAGAACTGTCATAGAAATTTCTCTCAGCACCACCTGGTCGGTTCTGCATGGCCAAGGAGCATGCTTCATAATACTTTTCAACTGAAATGGGGGCCAGAGTACGGCTTCAATGCGTCCTATAAGACTAACGAGACTGCCAACCCAGCGCCAGTGACTCCACCTCACGCTGAGAGGCAGCCAAACCACTGCACCCACTTCACTTTGGTGACGTTGAATCAGGATGCGAGTAGCTCTGGCAGTCTGATAGGGATGCTAACACCGGAGTGCCACGCAAGGAGCTTTATAAGCTCTCTCCTTAATCTTCACATCACTACTATGAGAAAACTGAGACCCACACTACTCTAGAGATTAAGTAATTTACCCAAAGTATCAGGCCAGTTAGGAGAAGAGTTGGAACTAGAGCCCGGATCTTTCTGACTTGGTTTGGTGCTCTTCCCAGATGGCAGGGCACTTCTTTTCTGGATCAAATGTCACTGACTACATTTCTACTGTACCCAGCATCTAGGACTACTGAGTAGTGAAACCATAACAGCACAGACCACATCTTCATTTCTCCTGGGCTCCAAGTGACTTCCCAGACACAGCAGCAGGAAGGGCTCAAAGGGCAAAGCAGATGTTTAGGAGCGTGGCTGCTGCCATAGCTGCATGGTGTGTTAATGACAACTTCCAAAACTCCATATTGCCAAACACAGCAAACGTCTGAGAAGCTAGATGGGGTGGAGAGAGGAAGATCTCTCCTCCAGGATTTCCGACGAAGGGCTCCCTCTAGCACAAAGGCCAGCCCAGACTGAAACCTACACCACTGTACTGCTGCCTCACCTCTCTGTGCGTAGATCTGTGCAAGCTCTGCAAACCGGATGTCGTAGCAGATGCCCAGGCCCACTCTGCAGTAAGCTGTTTTCCAAACAGAAAATGCACAAGTGAAAAGTTAACCTCCCGCAGCATGGCATGGCAGGGTAAAGCCTCCTGATCTAAGGAGCACAAAACACTGATGAGGATACAGAAACACAGGGCCCATGGAAACACAGAAAATTTACAAGTTTGTTCCTGTTTGGACTTCACCTCATAGAGACATCACTGATGTCAGCAAAGTAGAGCTGAGAAAGTCATTCGAAGTGAATGCTTATTATCTAAGGGGGAGGTGTTCAATCATGGCCAAACGGGAGGCTGTGACCAATGGAAGAGCGAAATGATGTCAAACCCTTTGTTCTCCATTCAGCCCACCCTTCTACTGTCGAGTTCTGCCCTTCTCACTTCTGGTCTTTCAGTCAGGTTATGTAAAGAAGCTGAGAAGGGATAAGAGAGAAAAACAAAGGAATACCTGACCCTCTTCTGGGACTGCTAAAAGACGCGAACTTATCTGGTACGTACGAGTCTCAAATGTGGAGAAACTATCACCAGGACTCAATGTTTTAGATTCTTGAAATGTAATTTTCCCAGGAACATCAATGTCAAACAGATGGAGCTGCATCACAAATAATGGCTTTGGTTACCTCTCTTCCAGCAGGGTTCATGTGGTAATAACAAGTATCTTCCCATAGCCAGATATGGGGGTACTCTAAGATCAACTGTACGAACAGCACCCCCACCTGCCCACAACCCACCCCACAATCTGACTGGCATTCTAGCAAAATGAATTATAACACAGGAAATGGGAAAAATGATGGTGTAAGTTTCATGATCCTTCCTTCTTTGGTGGTGTACAAGTCAATGTCTAGGTTTCTTATGGGAAGCAATTAATGTGTTGTTTTTTTTACTCAATATAAATGCTAAATGAAGACTCCTCACCATCAGAATCAAAATGATACACTGGAAGGAGAGGTCTAGAGTAGGTGAGTAATTAGAAATATGTACAATTTTGCAAACCAAATGTAGCAATATATAAAAACAACATATCACTTCCAAATTGGATTTTGATTTATCACACCAACAAAATAAAGGAGAAAAGGTATATGATCATCTTAAGACGCGCATAATGAGCATTTGGTAAAGTTCTACATCCATTCTTATTTAAAAAACAAAGAATTCTTCTAGGAAGGGGACTTCCTTAATCAGACAAAGAGTACACACATACACATACACACACACACACACACACACACACA